ATCAAAATCTAAGATTCAACACAAAATGGTCTAAAAAATAGGTTGAACAAGATTTACAATGAGGGCTTCGAAGGTTGATATAAGCATAATATTCATTTAGCATTTTCGTCAAATAAAAAGTGGACACACTAAAAATATTACATCACTCCTCAAACCTATACCCAAAACTCCATCTGCCTCAATGCCACCTAGGAGGTTCCAATGTATTGAGATAACAAACATTTCATATCACTAGGTTGTCAGTTAGAAATCAGCTTGTGGCATATGAAACCTTCCGAGTGTTACATAATAAAAATACTAAATAAAAATACTAAAAATAAACAAAAATAAGATAAACAGTAGTGGTTTTTGCCTCGTCCAAGCTATTCAAGGAAAACACTAAAAATACAAGAATATAACGAGAAACAAGAATCAAAATCATCATAGACAAGTGTCAGAACATCTTGTTTACATTGCTCTATAACATAATAGTGATGGAAGAAGACATTTGAGAAGGCATAAGCTCGGTTGGCTCCTTTAAATAGGAGCCGCTGCTTGCCTACTCATCCTTCTTGCAAGAGGCATCCGATGGATAAAGGAAAGGTTGCTCTATCACCTCCTAAACCATCTCTACTAACACCAATATCTCTTCACCCTTTCCACAACCTTTTTGCACCTCTCTAGAATCTTGAGGTGGTTCTCGAGTCAAAACCTTCTCCCTCGTTAATTCTTTGTCTTCGATGATTATTATATTTTAAAAATTTAACAACCACGATGTCTGAAGCCTTTTTATAAGGTGGTGATGGATGGTATTTTATAAGAAGAAGATCCTCTCTATGGAACATGAGCTAGAATGGATCCACTCTTTTGGAGAAGAAAGGGCAAATCTCGAGTCAAAACCTTCTCCCTCGTTGATCTTTGGCTTCGATGATTATTGGATTTTAAAATTTTAACAACCACGATGTTTGAGGCCTTTTCACAAGGTGGTGATGGATGGTGCTCTATAAGAAGAAAATCCTCTCTATGGAACATGAGCTAGAATGGACCCACCCTTTTGGAGAAGAAAGGGAAAATCTCGAGTCAAAACCTTCTCCCTCGTTAATTCTTTGGCTTCGATGATTATTGGATTTTAAAATTTTAACAATCATGATGTCTGAGGCCTTTTCACAAGGTGGTGACGGATGGTGCTTTATAAGAAGAGGATCCTCTCTATAGAACACGAGCTAGAATGGACTCACCCTTTTGGAGAAGAAAGGGCAAATCTCGAATCAAAACCTTCTCCCTCATTAATTCTTTGGCTTCGATGATTATTGGATTTTAAAAATTTAACAACCATGATGTCTGAGGCCTTTTCACAAGGTGGTGACGGATGGTGCTTTATAAGAAGAAGATCCTCTCTATGGAACACGAGCTAGAATGGATCCCCTTTTGGAGAAGAAAGGGCAAATCTCAATTCTTAGCTAAATAGGGAAGTCTAAACTCTTTCCTTGCCTCTATTCATCAAAAAAAAAAAACCAAAATGAAAAACAGAACTGAGAAGACTAGTAGTCCAGCTATTCCTGTTCTGCTCCATCTAAATGTCACTCAACTTTATTTCTTGGAGTTATATAGAGCAACGAAAGAACAATGGTTTGAACAAGTTTTTAGTCTTATTAAAACAGACAATCTATCTCTTATCATGTTATTTGAACATTCAATCTGAAATGTTTTCAGTGTCTAGAAGCTAGATCTCTTCAAAGTTGCTCTAGTTAGTAAATAATCTATAGCACTAAATATAACCATTCAATAAAATGGTAAAATCCATTTTCTCCTCTCTGTAATTTATGCTAGTAATATTTTCATACATCAAAACTACTCTGGTGACAATTACTGTCTATGGACACTTCATTTGTTTCTTGGTTGTTTTGTCGAGATGTGAATTGTATTTCAAATAATATCAATAAAATTGGGGGTTGTTTATTCTCTCTCTCTCTCTATCTCTCTCTAGTTTTATCTGACATTTTTTAGAATTTCTATCTTCTTGGGACCTACTTGATTTGGGTTTTATGGATTCACGTTTCATATCACTTTGGTCACTCTCATATCTTTGCTAGAGTGGATCATGCTTTTTTTAATGAGTTGTTCTTCTCGTTCTAGGATAATATCATTGTATCGCATCTCCCTTAGATATCCTTAGACCACTCCCCCCATCTTGTCGCTGAAAGGATATCTCAACCACTATAAGCCTAATTTCCTCCGTTGAATCCAAAGAGAATGAGCCATCTAGACTATAATATTAAACCTTTAATAATAAAGCTCCATAAAGTCAACTTTACGGAGAATGAGTGATTTAGAATGAGTGATTTTTTTACTTTCAAGAGAGTTATCTATACCAAGAGACCCTCTCTTGGGTCTCCCCTCCTCAATAGTGATAGCATTCTCTGAGTTAACATTCACCATGCCAAATACAATCCTTTTCACCCTTGGACCAACTCTCCCACGTATACTTCCTCTTTCTAGAAAAGAAGTATCGCTATTCTTCACTTTGATCTCAAACGAGGATTTTTCATATTAATAAAAAATAATAGATCCTCTTACATCTTGATCGACACTTTGATCTCCACTTTGGCTTGAGATTATATCATTCAATAAATGGTCTATTTTATAAATATCAATGCTTTATCTCTATGTTACATATCTTTCCGATTTAATATTTAACTACTCTTAGAATTCCTTAATCTTGATTGTCAAGATTCTTTATATTCATTTGGCCCACTGTAATAATGATGACCACTCCATTTGGACTCCTCGACTACTCTCAGGCTCTATCAGTGCCTATCAAAACATTTGCAATGTCTCGTTTGACATTTAGCCTCCTTTATCAGGATACGACATTTGAAAGTAGCTTCCAAATTCAACGATTTCACTTGATAAACTTATTGAAATTGACTCTTGGTTTATGATTGGATCTCTTTCATCATGCATAGCCTATACGTTTGTAATCTTTGAAACGATTCATATTTTCTTTGGGTACTATTTTCTAATACAGTTTTGAATCTTTTTATATCTCACTTGGGAGACATCTTCTCATGAATTAACTTTTGGTACCAAAGAGTGTATAGCTTGAGGAAGGCACCAACCTCATACATAAAACCTTAAGGTTCCTTTGGGTAAATAGAAATCATACCGATTTCGCAATAAATCAAAAGCTCTATCTCTATTGTCAAAAGCTATCTCTTTCACGGTGGACTTTTGTGCGACAACTTAAGTCAAAAGGGCCATTCTTTCTCTTCTCTTAATTCACCTATCGTTATGCACACATATATATACTTGTGACCATTACTATTTTGGAATGTGATGCTTCCTTTAACCTTGTACATAGCTCAGCAACAACTGGATTTATTTTCAAATCTCTTGAAGCTCACATCATTAAGGCAGTTTATCTCCCTCTACAAGTCAAGTCTCCAGTCTGACCATGGCTGAAGTTGCTGCAATACTAATTTTGCTTAGTCTCTTTCTTTGCACCATCTCATTAGTTATTTGGATGTTGTCAACATCATCAAGGACATCAACCTCCATGGTAAATTAAGTCCATTATTCTTGACACTAAACACCAATTTAGAATGCTCTAAGCTCCCAACATTTCCTGTGTTCTTAGAGATCTAAATGTAAATGCCCATTTGTTAGCCCCTTTTTTTTTTTGGGAGAATTTACTTAGTCTTATTCTTTTAGAGGAGCGATTCCGTTGCTCCTTACTTAGTTATTCTAACTAATTTATAGTTTTTCTTTCCTTCAAAATAACACGTGTAAAATCCACACATGTTTGTTACTCGATCACTAAAATACTAATGTTGAATCTTAAATTGATATTATTTGAGCAAATTATAGGCAAAAATCCCTAGGTATCCCCTTTTTAGATCCCAAAATGCTCTTGATAGGGTAGAGCAAAAAGAAATTCGTTTTTCACATTAGATTGATCAATAATGGTGAATTGGTTTAATAAGATCAATCGTCCAATTATGATATTTTTATATAGGTTTACAGTGTGTTTTTTTTTTAATTTTGGCTTATAGTGTTTTTATGAATATGGTAAAAATATCTATAATTGACACGTTTGAAACTCCTTAGATTTTATTATATATTAAGTAATTTCTTTATTTTTATATAAGCTTAATATTTTTGTATAGGTTAGTAAAAATACGACTACTTTAATTGAAAATGCTATAACTACCATATAAATACAATACTGGCATTTTTGCCTTCAAAAATATCCAAAATACCCCCTCAAAAAGTTTTTTCACTAAAATTTTTCACTTTTTTTTTTTATCAATTTTAAACTGTTATAGTGTTTCTATTTGACAAGTCTATAATGTTTTTAATAGCATTTATAGTGTTTTATTGATGTATTAAAAAAATTGAAAATGACATGATATTGTGTCTTTTTTATTATCATTACATATAGATGATTACAATATCGTATTCATGTAGCTAACTAGTTTGGTTGAGATTAGAAATCTACTTAAATTATTTAGAACATTATTAGGTATATTTTATATTTTTTTGCTGTGGTGGTCAAAATACTACAAGTGGCCAAAAAAAAATTTGAGAGATAATTCAAACATGTTACAAATTAAGGGTACTATTTAAAAAAAATGAGTGGTCAGATATCAAAATATAAATATTTGCTAGAAAACATTGCCCTTTATGTTACATATTAATTTATATTGTATTTTGAGCTTCCGTTTATTTTTGTATATACTTATAATAATTTTTTTATACTTTCAAAAAATATATATAATTTTATTTAAAATTATAATAACAAATCTGATTTTCATATAAAGAGGCATTTTGGAAGAACAGAAAATTTTGAAAAATAATACAAAATGTAAGGACGTTGATGGAGAAAAGGACTTCAACCCACGCTTTTCTCGAGAATTCGTTCATATTATTTTTAAATTTATATTAATTTATTAATAATGACAAAAAATCTTAGAAATATATTAGTTTATATATCTGTTGGTGTTGTTCGACGTCGAGCATGGAAGATGGATGAACAATTCAAATTGTCGAACAAGAACAAAAACTTTTCGATCAATTATTCCGCACCAAAACATCGCCCCCCATCCCCCCGTTGTTTCCAACACCAGCACAGTCAACTCAGATTTTTGGTCAACCGTGACCGTCTGATGAAAATGAAATCACACACCCTCCATCTTTGACCACCCCATCCATCTCTCGCTTCTTATTCCTTTCAGGCGGAGCAGAGTAGCGTAGCAGCCAGAGAAGCCAGTCGAGAAGGCAAGGATGCCGCCTTCCGCGCGCGCCGAGCCCGGCAACGTCGTCACCCTCAACGTGGGCGGCCAACTCTTCCAGACCACCCCGCAAACCCTCGCCCTCGCCGGCCCCGACTCTATCCTCTCCTCCCTCGCCTCTTCTCTGCCTTCTTCCTCCTCCGTCCCCTTCATCGACCGTGACCCCGATCTCTTCGCCGCCCTCCTCTCCCTCCTCCGCACCGGCCGCATCCCCTCGCGAGCCACCGCTGCCTTCGACCACGACGACCTCCTCGCCGAAGCCCGCTTCTACGCCCTTCACCCCCTCTTCCTTTCTTCTCTCTCCAGCCACGCCCTCTTCGATGCCTTCGCCCTCCGCCGTTCGCTCCTCCTCCCCCTCCCGGGACGCGACGCGTGCTCCTCCCTCGCCCCCTCCCCCCTCGACGCCTCCCTCCTCGTGGCCCACGGCGGCAAGGTCTCCTCCTTCGACCCCTCCCTCCGCCGCCGCGCCACCGTTCTCACCCCCCTCCCCGCTGTCGACTCCCTCCTCGCCCTTGGACCCCTCGCCGCCGCCGGCGCCGCCGACTTTCCCGGCCTCCACCTCCTCGACCTCGGCCACCCCGGCGGCCCCGTCCGGCACGTCCTCCGCTGGTGTCCCCACCCCTCCGCACCCGCCGCCGCTGTCCAGGCCATCGGCTCCTCTCCTGACCTCCTCTTCTGCAGCTTCGAGTCCTGCCGGAGGAACGCCAGCGCGATCCTCGCCTTCGACCTCACCACCTTCCAGCCCGTCACAGAGATCGCCCGCCGCGAGATCTACGGCGCCGAGCTGGACTCCGCGATCCCGGCAACGAAGCTGCAGTGGGTTCCGGGATCCAACCTGCTCATGGCCGCCGGATCCCACGGCGGCCCTTCGGGGCTGTTGGGCGACATCCGGCTATGGGATGTGAGGTCCGGCGAAGCGATCTGGGAGCTGAAGGAGAAACACAATTGCTTTGCGGACGTCACGGTATCTGATGGCCTGTCGGCGATGTTCAAGGTGGGGATCAACTCGGGCGAGGTTTTCATGGCGGATATGCGGAAACTGAGCTCCGAGGAGCCATGGATTTGTATCGGGGACGGTAGGAGGCCGGCGACAGGGAAGAAGGAAGGGGGCGGGTGCCGAATCGAAAGCTACGGGAGGCACGTGTTCTGTAGCAGAGGAGGGGATGTGGAGATGTGGACGGAGGTGGTGATGGGGTGTTGGAGGAGGGGTGAGGAGGGGTTAGAGAGCGAGAGGGTGATGAGGAGGAACTTGATGGGAGGGACGAAGGACGGGGGAGGGAAGAAGATAAACATGTTGGGGTTTGGAGGGAACAGAATGGTGGTGGCGAGGCAGGAGGAGCAGTGGGTGGAGGTATGGGAAAGCTCGCCCAGGAGTTGATGGGCTCGCAAGAAGGCGGAATTCTAACGTTGAGTTGTTGGTATTCTTGTTCGTCGTTTGTCGATGGTTTTTTTACATTAAGTTTAGAAAATGTTGCAAATGTGAACATGGCAAGAAGGCAGAATTCTAATGTTGAGTTGTCGGTGTTCTTGTATCGTTTGTCAATGGTTTTTTTACATTATGATTAGAAAATATTACAAATGTGAAGACCGCAAGAAGACAGAATTCTAATGTTGAGTTGTCGGTGGTCTTGTTCGCCGTTTGTCC